AACTGCAAAATATACTGAAGGTTGATAAATCCTACTCGAGTGCGAGAATGGCTACTCGAGCGAAAGAGAAAATTTGTGAAGCCCGTTCGAGCGCCGGAATGCCAGCTCAAATGGTGGTCCCCAAGGCGAAGTACTAGGGCGGATAAAACTCTTATCTAACAATTCCTGAAGTTGAACCTTCAGCTCACTCAACTCAAAAGGTGCAAGTAGATACGGTGCCATTGAAATTGGTGTTATACCAGGCACTAATTCAATAAAGAACTCAATCTCTTTGTAAGGTGGTAAACTAGTAAGATCCTCGGGAAAGACATCGGGGTATTCACAAACCGCCCTTTGCAACTCAACCCGGACTTCATCACATTCACTATTCAAGAAGTTAGCAAGACAGCTAAGCTCACTCCGCCCACGTGGATCATATACCGGTGATAAGACTCTATCCACCTGATCCCCCATGAAATAAAAGCAATTCCCGCTCAAGGTACATACAGTAACCCTCTGACGCTAGCAATCTATATCAGCTCGGTATGATAATAACCAATCCATACCTAAAATAACATCATAACTAGTCATGTCAAGCAAGACAAATGCAAATAGAAGCCGACGACCAGCGACCTCTATGTCACAACCTCGACACCCCTATTTCAAGATAACCTCACCATCAATAGGTGACTTTACACAAATAGGAGATGCTAACTGTGCCAACTCCAATCCCAAAACCGATGCAAATACAGACGAGATAAAAGAATGGGATACACCCGTATTAATCAACACATTAGCAACTAAATTGCAAAACAACCAGGTACCTCTCACTACTGAAGGAGCAGGCACAAGGTCTGGCGCTGTGACAGTATACACACGCCTTGATGGCCTCTGATCTACCTACTCACCCCTTGGAGCATAAGCCTGCTACATGGATTGAGCCGAAGAGGCTCCCTGATTGGCCATCGAGGCCAATGCTGAGTGTGCTAGCTGGTGACTCTATGTCTTTCTCGAACCAAACACACCAGATGTGCCACCCAACTATGGGCAAAACCTCTTCAGGTGCCCCGCCTGACCACACTGGTAACAAGTGAGCGGTTGTTCTCTACCCTGACTCAGGCCCTGAGAACGAGCTGAAGGTAAAGCTGCTCGCTGCCCTCCCCCTCTCTGAGGGCAAGCTGGAGACTTGTGACCCAATTGGCCACATTTGAAATAGGTCACATCCCCCCAACCACCTCTCCCAGAACCCAAACTCGGCACTGGAAAGGTAGACCTTGATTGTACTCCCTGGGACTGCTGAGAGTTAGAACCCCTTCCGAACCAGGTATGAATATTATTAGTTTTTAGTCATGCCTTTTGGAGTTACAAATTCACCTGCAACATTCATGGATTTGATAAATAGAATTTTCAAACCCTTCTTGGATGAATTTATCGTAGTGTTCATTGATGATATTCTCATATATTCGAAAAATAGAGATGATCACAAACAACACCCGAGAATGACTCTTCAAACGCTTAGAGAAAAACGATTGTATGGAAAATTCAAAAAAGTGAATTTTGGCTTAATGAAATTGCATTTTTGGGCATATCATTAATAAAGATGATATATCTGTTGAACGTCATAAAATTGAAGCAATCACTAATTGGACTACTCCGACAAATGTATCAGAAGTTCGTAGTTTTATGGGATTGGCAGAGTATTACCGAAGACTTCTTAGAGACTTTTCGAAAATTGTTGTGCCATTGACTCAGTTAACTTAGAAAGGGGAACCATTTGAGTGGACGGATCAGAGAGAGGTAGCCTTTCAAGAGTTGAAGATAAGACTGACTACAACTCCAATTCTTGCCATTCCCTCAGGTACTGAAGGCTTTGTAATTTTTAGTGATGCATCTTATAAGGGCTTGGGTTGTGTCTTAATGCAAAGTGACAAGGTGATTGCATATGCCTCTCAACAATTGAGGCCCTACAAAAAGAACTACCCTACACATGATTTGGAACTTGCTGCAGTTGTATTTGCATTAAAGATATGGCGTCACTATTTGTATGGGGCTAAATGTGAAGTATATACAAATCATAAGAGCCTGAAATACCTTTTCACTCAGAAGGAATTGAACATGCGTCAAAGGAAATGGCTTGAATTAATCAAAGATTATGATTTGCAGATTCACTATCACCCGGGTAGAGCCAATACTATGGTAGATGCACTCAGCAGAAAAAGTGTGGGGAATCTTGTCTATTTGCTCATAGATCAAAGAGAGTTCCTACTGGAGTTTGAAAAACTCAAAATTGAAGTGGTGCCTTTTGAACAAGATAGCTTGATAGCCACAATGTCTGCCCAGCCTGTTATTATCGAGGAAATTAAGCAGAAACAAATAAATGATGAGTTATTGAAGAAGATTTGTGATGAACTTGACACCAAGCCTAAACCAGGATTTATAATTGAAAACTTCGCGTTGAAATATCAGGGGAGATTGTGTGTCCCGAATGATGCAGATTTGAAAACGAAGATTTTGGAGGAAGCTCACAAGTCGATGTTTGCTATGCATCCAGGAAACACCAAAATGTATTAAGACTTGAAGCTAATGTATTAGTGACCCAATATAAAAAGAGAGATTGCTGACTTCAACTCGAAATGCTTACAATCCAGCAAGCGAAAGCGGAGCATCAGAAACCAGCAGGTTTGCTTCAGCCTCTTCCTATTTTGGAATGGAAATGGGAACATGTCACCGTGGACTTTGTTGTTGGCCTACCACGGACACCTAGAGGTATGGACTCTATTTGGGTTATAGTTGATAGATTGACTAAATCTGCTGACTTTCTTGTTGTAAAGGCTTCATTTACTGCATATAGACTTGCTACTATCTACATTGATGAGATTATTTGACTGCATAGGGTTCCAGTCTCTATTGTATCAGATAGGGATCCTAAATTTGTTTCTAGATTTTGGCATAGTCTATAGGATGTAATGGGAACAGAATTGAGATTTAGCACATCATTTCATCCACAAACCGATGGGCAAACCGAAGTGACTATTCAGACCTTAGAAGACATGCTTCGTATGTGTGTATTGGATTTTCAGGGCAATTGGGAAACTTATTTGCCACTGGGCGAATTTGCTTATAATAACAATTTTCAAGCGAGTATCGATATGGCACCATATGAGGCACTATATGGCAGAAAGTGTAGATCGCCAGTTTCTTGAAATCAAGTCATGTAGAAGTTGTATTCATCACGATTTTGAGTTCATTTGCATGAAATTAGAATGTATATGCAAGGATCATCTTGGGTATGAAAAGAATTGAGCATAATTCTACACATGCATGCATAATTTGAGTTAAAATTCATGAAATTCCTACATGCATGGCACATTTGCACCTTAATTTGGAGAATCCTTCATGTTTTCTTGCTTCTCATGTCACTTGATCATATTTTGAACATGTTTTGAAGAAATGTACACTCAATTTGAGTTAAACATATTTTATAATTTGAGGTTGAAATCTTTTGTTGGGAAATTACCATGGTTCTAAATAAATGGGCTCAAATTGAAAGTATTTTCATGTTATATAATGATTCTCCATGTTTTTGTACCAAAAACCCAAGATTTGAGGCTTTGAATACCATGTTTGAACTTCAGACACAGTTCTGGAAATTCAAGAATTCATGTTGTCCGCTCGAGGGAGGGAAGCCCTGCTCGAGTGTGAAAATCGAGCTCCCAGAAGTTTTCTGAAATTTTACAGGTCGCTCGAGCGACCAAAGTGGCGCTTGAGCGAGGACCCTTTTTCTCAGTCTTCCGCTGGAGTGACTATCGAGCGAGAATTTCATGTAACCAGTACTTTTGCAGACCGCTCGAGCGACAGAAGTTACGCTTGAGCGACCACCTTTGTCATTGAATGAGAATTGTTAATGGGATAACACGGATCATTGAGAATTAAATTGAAATCAGAATTGTATTGAATATGCTGTCGATCAATGATTTTGTTTATCACGAAGGATTGACATGATGGCTTATCTAATTGATATTTGTACTGTTGTGGAACTTTATTCATATAACCTCTTTATCCTGTTATTACTCATTGGGCATTCACTCATTATTTATGTTTATATATATGTAGGTGAGCATGTTGAACATCAAGGTTAGAGATTGCCTCGGAGTCACCCCATGGTTAGCCTTTTGTGGAGCTCCTGAGATGGAGCCACTTGGACTCATGACGAGCCAAGCAAGCCTAAACCCCCTTTTGTTATGAACTCTTAGTTAAATTTTGGCATAGGGGTTTTTGTTTTTTTTTTTTTTTTTTGTATATGTCTTTTATCTAGTTGAATTGTGGCTGAACCTCTATTTGGTTTATTTTCCTTCTTCTTTTGGAAGCTTTTGTAATGTATAAGTATCTACCTTCGGAATGGTTGAACAGTGCTACTGTAAACTCTTTTCATTTATGCACAGCTCGATGGACTTCTTCCACATTTACTTTGCTTCCACTAAGCCCCGTATTTAATATTGGTTGGATATTTGTATAGAGGCCATAAGTAACCCGTGATTACTGGCCAGTCATGATACTAAACCTGTAGAGGCGGGTTTGGGTCCTGACATGGTACCGATATTTGTATAGAGGCCGTAGGTAATCCATGATTACTGCCCAATCATGATACTAAACATGTAGGGGGAAGCTCACAAGTCGATAGAGTGGTATCGGAGCACGAGTTACATCTCACTCACTTGTCTATTGTGCGATCGATCATCTAGAAGATACTTCAGGATTGCATTAATGTGTAATTAAATGTTAGAGTGAGATGAATTGTATGATTACATGTTTTAAATTTGTACATGTGGACATATTTTATTTGTTGTGTTTATCATAATACAAGTTTTATATAAAAAATGGTGAGGACAAGGGGTGATGAGCTAGAGGAGGCATCCTCCTCAAGACTGGACAAACTGGGACGAATGATGCACGATATGGCTGAGGCCATAAGACAACAACAGTAGTGGTAGCAACAACAACAACCACCTCCCCCACCTCCAATGCCTGTACCACCTCTAGCTCCAGGGTGTCAGCCGAAGACCTACACTGTTGCTTTGACTAGAGAATTTAAGAAGATGAAGCCACCAGTGTTTCATGGTGGAATTGAACCATTGAAGGCCGAAGCTTGGGTTTTGGGAATGGAAAAATTGTTTGAAGTGTTTCCATGTACCAAAGCCCAGAAGGTGCAACTAGCTACATTCACATTGGAAGATGATACAAGGCGTTCGTGGATGTTGGTTCGAGATGATAATAAGGATGTTACTTGGACCCATTTTCTAGAAATCTTCTATGAGAAATACTTTCCACAATGTGTGTGGGATAGAAAAATAGCTGAATTTATGGAACTGAAGCAGGGAAACAAATCAATTGCTGAGTATGAAGCTCAATTCATAGAATTTACCCGTTTTGCACCCCACATGGTGGATACGGACTACAAGAAGGCTAGACAGTTTGAGGGAGGTTTGCGTGACCCAATTTTAGATAAAATCAATGTGCTCAAATTGCCGACATATGTGGATATACTTGATAGGGCACTAATGGCAGAAAGAAATGTAGCCAACCGTAAACAAAATTTCAAATGGAAGGATAGGAGACATAATTTTTATAAGGGGACACCAACAACAAATAAGAAGTTGAAGTTTGGAAATTCCAGCAATTTTGGGTCAACCCAAAGTGGCAACTCAGTACCTACTTGTACCGTTTGTGGAAAAAAACACTAGGGTGTTTGCTATCGCACTACGGGGGCTTGTTACCAGTGTGGAAAGATAGGGCATATGGTGAAGGATTGCACACAGTCGCGTCAGAGTAGTAATCGAGGTGCCACGAGCTCGATAGGATCAGTTCCCACAACAAGACCAGCTACAACACCGTCTGCCACAAGGAATGAACAAAGGCAAGGAAGGGTTTTTTCACTGATTCAGGAGGATACTCAAAATACTGAGGCAGTAGTGTCAGGTACAATCTCCATTTGTGGTAAACCTGTTTATACTTTAATTGATTATGGGTCTACACATTCGTTTATTTCTATGGCTTTTGCTGAAACTTTGAATAGACCTATGGAAACATTGAACTATATACTATGTGTTGCATCACCTACAGGGGGATCCATGTTATGTTCAACTATATTTGTTGCATGTGAATTATTTCTTGGGAATGCTACCTTGTATGCCGATTTAATACCTTTAGACCTGAGACATTTTGATGTTGTTTTGGGTATGGATTGGCTAGCTGAATATTATACAACTATTGATTGTGTCTTGAAATGAGTGATATTCCGGCCTCCCGGACAAGATGAAATTTCGAGGGAAAATGGGTAGTTCCACCACCGTACCTCATATCAGCCATGAAAGCTCGAAAACTAATAAATAAGGGTTGTCAAGGGGTATTTGTGTAGTGTAATAACTAAACCAACTATAGACATTACCATAGATGATGTACCAGTGGTGAGAGATTTTCATGATGTGTTTCCGAATGAATTACTTGGCCAACTTGTGGATAGAGAGATTGAATTTACAATTGATGCAATACCAGGGACTCAACCAATTTCTAAAACTCACTACCGTATGTCTACCACTGAATTGAAAGACTTGAAAATTTAGTTACAGGAATTTCTTGATAAAGGGTTTATTAGACCGAGTACATCACCATAGGGCGCACTGATACTTTTTGTTAAAAAGAAAGACGACACTCTCCGATTATGCATTGATTACCGAGAGCTAAACAAGGTGACGGTGAAAAATAAATCTCCGTTGCCGCATATTGATGAACTGTTTGACTAGTTGCATGGGGCACAAATATTTTCAAAAATTGACTTGAGATCAGGGTATCATCAACTGAAGGTTAAGACTGAAGACATTGAAAAGACTGCCTTCCAAACCAAGTATGGACATTATGAGTTTTTAGTCATGCCTTTTGGAGTTACAAATGCACCTGCAGCATTCATGGATTTGATTAATAGAATTTTCAAAGCTTTCTTGGATGAATTTATCGTAGTGTTCATTGATGATATTCTCATATATTCGAAAAATAGAGATGATCATAAACAACACCTGAGAATGACTCTTCAAACGCTTAGAGAAAAACGGTTGTATGGGATATTCAAAAAGTGTGAATTTTGGCTTGATGAAATTGCATTTTTGGGCATATCATTAATAAAGATGATATATCTGTTGATCCTCATAGAATTGAAGCAATCATTAATTGGCCTACTCCGACTAATGTATCAGAAGTTCGTAGTTTTATGGGATTGGCAAGGTATTACTGAAGATTTGTTAGAGACCTTTAAAAATTGTTGTGCCATTGACTTAGAAAGGGGAACCATTTGAGTGGACGGATCAGAGAGAGGCAACCTTTCAAGAGTTGAAGATAAGACTGACTACATCTCCAATTCTTGCAATTCCCTCAGGTACTGAAGGCTTTGTAACTTTTAGTGATGCATCTTATAAGGGCTTGTGTTGTGTCTTAATGCAGAGTGACAAGGTGATTGCATATGCCTCTCGACAATTGAGGCCACACGAAAAGAACTACCCTACACATGATTTGGAACTTGCTGCAGTTGTATTTGCATTAAAGATATGGCGTCACTATTTGTATGGGGCTAAATGTGAAGTATATACAGATCATAAGAGCCTGAAATACCTTTTCACTCAGAAAGAATTGAACATGCTTCAAAGGAGATGGCTTGAAATAATCAAAGATTATGATTTGCAGATTCACAATCACCCGGGCAGAGCCAATACTGTGGCAGATGCACTCAGCAAAAAAAGTGTGGGAAATCTTGCCTATTTGTTCACAGATCAAAGAGAGCTGCTACTGGAGTTCGAAAAACTCAAAATTGAAGTGGTGCCTTTTGAACAAGATAGCTTGATAGCCGCAATGTCTGCCCAGCCTGCCATTATTGAGGAAATTAAGTAGAAACAAATAAATGATGAGTTATTGAAGAAGATTTGTGATGAACTTGACACCAAACCTAAACCGGGATTTATAATTGAAAACTTCGTATTTAGATATCAGGGGAGATTGTATGTCTCGAATGATGCAAATTTGAAAAGGAAGATTTTGGAGGAAGCTCACAAGTCGATGTTTGCTATGCATCTAGGAAACACCAAAACGTATCAAGACTTGAAACTAATGTATTGGTGGCCCAATATGAAAAGAGAGATTGCTGACTTCAACTCTATATGCTTACAATCCAGCAAGTGAAAGCGGAGCATCAGAAGCCAGCAGGTTTGCTTCAGTCTCTTCCTATTTCGGAATGGAAATAGGAACATATCACTGTGGACTTTGTTGTTGGCCTACCTTGGACACCTAGAGGTATGGACTCCATTTGGGTTATAGTTGATAGATTGACTAAATCTGCTGACTTTCTTGCTGTAAAGACTTCATTTACTGCATATAGACTTGTTACTATCTACATTGATGAGATTATTCGACTGCATAGGGTTCCAGTCTCTATTGTATCAGATAGGGATCCTAAATTTGTTTCTAGATTTTGGCATAGTCTATAGGATGTAATGGGAACAGGATTGAGATTTAGCACATCATTTCATCCATATACCGATGGGCAAACCGAAATGACTATTCAGACCTTAGAAGACATGCTTCGTATGTGTGTATTGGATTTTTGGGACAGTTGGGAAACTTATTTGCCGCTGGCCGAATTTGCTTATAATAACAGTTTTCAAGTGAGTATCGGTATGGCACCATATGAGGCACTATATGGAAGAAGTGTAGATCGCCAGTTTGTTGGATAGAGGTTGGTGATAGAACTATTTATGGGACTGAACTTCTGCAAGAAATGACAGAGAATGTCAAAATCATTCAGCAAAGGCTCAAAACTGCACAGGGCCGACAAGAAAGTTATGTGGATCAGCGAAGAAGGGACTTAGAGTACAAAGTGGGAGATCATGTAATCGTCAAAGTGACCCTGATAAAAGGGCATGCGAGATTTGGTAAAAAAGGAAAACTGACTCCTCGCTACATTGGACCGTTTCAGATCCTTGAGAGGTTGGGTCATGTTGCTTATCGTATTGCCTTGCCAACGGGAATGGAACAAGTGCACAACATTTTCCTTGTATCCATGCTTCGTGGGTATCTTAGAGATCCGTTCCATGTGATTGATTACCATCGGATTGCTCTAGATGATGATATGATGTATGAAGAATAGCCCGTGCAAATCATTGATCAGCAAGTGAAGCAATTGAGAAACAAAACTATCCCTATGATGAAGGTCAAGTGGAGAGAACATTATGGGAACGAGGCCACTTGGGAGTAAGAGGAAGAGATGTGGCAACGGTATCCGCATTTCTTTCTATCTGAAGGTAACTTAAGTTTGGAGGACCAAACTTTCTAAGGGGAAGAGACTGTGATGACCCCAACCTCTAGACTAGTATATTATATCAGTTTAATAAGTTTAATTGCATGATTGTGTATTTAATTGTGTGATTACATGTTTAATTTTGTAATTATCTGTTGTCGCATGGAACATCTGTTCAAATTGATAACTTGAGACGGAAATTGAGAACCTAAATAGCTTCAGGAACTGAAATTGACTGTCCCAATGGGATAATTAGAATATTTAGAATTTTATGGCTACTTTAATTGAAATTTGATTCGGATCAAAATAATTTCAATGATTGATTAGAGTTTATTAGAATGAAGTGGGATTAATTAGTCCTAACTAAGCTTAATTAACTTAAGCCAATTATATACATATATATGAGCTACATAAGCTCAATTAGACAAAAAAATACATCTTGGAGCTGAGATTTTGAAGAAGGGAAGCTAAGGACTCAACAGTTAGAGAGAGAGAAGAAGAATTGTCAAGGAGAATTGAAGAATTAAGCTATACAACACTTGCATTCACACATTAGGTATGAATTCAACCCAAATTCTTGAAATCAAGTCATGTAGAAGTTGTATTCATCACGATTTTGAGTTCATTTGCATGAAATTAGAAGGTATAGGCTAGGATCATCTTGGGTATGAAAAGAATTGAGCATAATTATACACATGCATGCATAATTTGAGTTAGAATTCATGAAATTCCTACATGCATGGCACATTTACACCTTAATTTGGAGAATCCTTCATGTTTTCATGCTTCTCATGTCACTTGATCATATTTTGAACATGTTTTGATGAAATGTACACTCAGTTTGAGTTAAACATATTTTATAATTTGAGGTTGAAGTCTTTGGTTAGGAAATTACCATGGTTTTGAATAAATGGGTTCAAATTGGAAGTATTTTCATGTTATATAATGATTCTCCATGTTTTTGTACCAAAAACACAAGATTTGAGGCTTTGAATACCATGTTTGAACTTCAGACACAGTTTTAGAAATTCTAGAATTCGTGTTGTCCGCTTGCGGGAGGAAGCCCTGCTCGAGTGTGAAAATCGAGCTCCCAGAAGTTTTTTGAAATTTTACAGGTCACTCGAGCGACCAAAGTGGCAGTTGAGCGAGGACCCTTTTTCTCAGTCTTCTGCTGGAGCGACCATTGAGTGGGAATTTCATGTAACCAGTACTTTTGCAGACCGCTCGAGCGACAAAAGTTACGCTTGGGCAACCACCTTTGTTTTTGAACCCCCGTTTGAGCGTAGGAAGTTGCGCTCGAGCAGAGACCCTGTTTTCAGCAAAATTTTACCAACTCTTTTAAGTGCATTTTTGCATCCTCATGCCACTCCGAGCATTCTTAGGCCGCATTTGGACTCCTATAATCATACAATAAGTTAGAAGCACATAAAGGGAATTGAATTAAAATGAAATGAAGTTTCATTTGTACTTTGTTATGTGTTTCGTTTAGGTAGATGTCCGAGGCTTAGTGTCACCACAAACCACTGTGAGTAATAACTTTATAAAGATATGTTCAAGTGATATTTATTTTCAAAAATGTTATTGTTATCAAAATCGATACATGATTGATTGATTGGGTTTATTGAAGTACTAATTTTGACTAATGAATGAAGTTCATTTTTGAAGTAAACTCGTGGCATCCTTTAGTGAGACCCTCGCTCGGGTGAAACAATACCGTGACCCATTGTTATTAGGCCCTCACCTGGGGGAAACAATACTGTGGCCCATTGTTAATAGGCCCTCGCCCAGGGGAAACAATACCGTGGCCCATTGTTAATAGGCTCTCGCCCAGGGGAAACAATACGTGGCCCATTGCTGAATAGGCCCTTGCCTGGAGGAAATCAATACTAGGGCCCATTGCTTAATAGGCCCTTACCTAGGGGATATAATACCATGGCCCATTGGCCCTGGCCCGAGGGAAATAATACCGTGGCCCATTAGATAATTGAATATGATATATTGATTGACCCTCGAGGTCCCATTGCTACTGATACATTGTTACTCTATTGGATGTACCACGTAATTTGTCATTGAATGAGAATTGTTAATGGGATAACACGAATCATTGAGAATTAAATTGAAATTGGAATTGTATTGAATATGCTGTCGATCAATGATTTTGTTTATCACAAAGGATTGACATGATGGCTTATCTAATTGATATTTGTACTATTGTGGAACTTCATTCATATAACCTCTTTATCCTGTTATTACTCATTGGGCATTAGCTCACTACTTACGTTTATAAATATATAGGTGAGCATGTTGAACATCAAGGTTAGAGATTACCTCAGAGTCACCCCATGGTCAGCCTTTTGTGGAGCTCCCAAGATGGAGCCACTTGGACTCATGACGAGCCAAGCAAGCCTAAACCCCCTTTTGTTATGAACTCTTAGTTGAATTTTGGTATAGGGTTTTTTTTTTCTTTTTTTTTTTTGTATGTCTTTTATCTAGTTGAATTGTGGGTGAACCTTTGTTTGTTTTATTTTCCATCTTCTTTTGGAAGCTTTTGTAATGCATAAGTACTTACCTTTGGAATGGTTGAACAGTGCTACTGTAAACTCTTTTCATTTATGCACAGCTCGATGGACTTCTTCCATATTTACTTTGCTTCCGCTAAGCCCCGTATTTAATATTGGTTGGATATTTGTATAGAGGTCGTAGGTAACCCGTGATTACTGGCCGATCATGATACTAGACCTGTAGGGGCGGGTTTAGGTCCTGACATGATACCGATATTTGTATAGAGGCCGTAGGTAATCCGTGATTATTGCCTGGTCATGATACTAAACCTGTAGGGGCGGGTTTGGGTCCTGACATCGTCTGTCGCCACAATCTCGGGTGCGAACCTAGACAAGCTAGTAAAGGTGGCTTCGAACTCTGCCACAGGTGTGTTCAACTGCACCAGCTTAGAGAACTGGTCCCTCAACTTCTCCCTAACAGTGGGAAGCATAAACTTGTCCTGGAAGGTGCTGACAAAAGTCTCCTAAACCACCCCAATGCGCCCACGTGCATACTTCCACCACGGACCCGCATCTCCCTTCAACTAGAAAGATGCCAAGGTCGCCTTCAACTGGTCGTCTTTGAAGCCATGCATCTCGAATATCTTCATTATCTGCTCAAGCCACTCATCTACCTTGAGTGGCTCCTTTAGGTCACCCAAAAACTCATCTGGATTAGACCGGAAAAACTCTCTCTTTAGAAACTAAGGCCCTGCCTTAGCTGTTTGGGCCAGGACTTGATTTTCAGCCCTGAGAATGTCCATGGATTCGCTTAGTGCTCCGGCCATTTCACGGGTTAAGGTGCCCATGGTTTGCTGACCTACTCGCTCAGCCATGTTGGCCTGACCAACTCCCTCTTCCTGCGCCGGAATGTTATCCGGTATAGGCACCTTATGCCTCCTAGGCCTACCATGCCTACCTCCACGACCACATCCTGACATCCTAATGAAGGTAACAAAGTGATTAGCACATTTACAAATGTGTCGAAGCTAACCCACTCACGTCCTAATACATTGGACAATAATAATTCACTCGACATAAGCACATAATCACGTAATCATATACGAATTTCATCTCTGGATAATAACCGTTCCGCGGCGTTGCTAGAGTTCCAATTAGAAATAGCAGTGATCAAGTGCCTTTCTAACGGGACTTCTAGAAACCCGTAGACCCAATCAACATCCAAGAAATTCAATCCCATACCCAAATAATCATATAAGCATGTTATCATATAAGCACACATCGTTCATACTTAAGTCTCTAGTAAGCAAGAGAAACCCATTGTGATACTAACCACTTCCCACGTATCCAAAGTATTGAAACCCGGTATGCTCTGATACCAAATTGTAATGTCCCCAAAATAATAACATAAATACATTCACAAACATATATATAAATGATAGCATAAATCTAAATAAATAGTCTTTTCATTACATGAAGTTAATAATACAAGAGTTTAACATAATTAAATGTCCTATTGGCTTACATCTTTCCAAGCCTTGCCTTGGTTACACAAAATGAGACTAGCTCATACACATTTAGCCCTAGGCTTTACAAAAATATACAATTCAAATAAAGAAGCACTTGCTCCCAAAATGTCCTTCCTAGCTATTGCCTTGGTGGAGGTAAGTCATCAACACCTGAAAATGTCATTCCAAAATAGGGTGAGCCATAGCCTAGTAGAAATTACCTAGCACAGTATATGAAACTTTGCAAAGGTATAAGTACAAGTGCAAAAACAATGCATGTGATTAAAACTTTTCACAACTTTATACTCATAAGATATCAACTTCAAGTCTTAATCCACTTACCTTCAATTCACATTTCAACTACCTATCTTTCTCAATTCATGAGTCAATTTCATTATTTCTCAGCAGCCGAACTGAGGCTACAACTCAATAATTTTCAAATCACACAACACATATGCACAAACACTTCAAACTTCCATTTCATGGATATTTCGTCTGCGGCAGCCGTCAAACGGAACCCATGTAAACGTAGGCTATATAAGCACTACAATTGGCATTTTACGGATATTTCGTTCGCGGACTAGGCACCCATGTATAATTTCGGGACTTTTACCCAAGACACTCCGGCCAACTTAATTATAATGGAGTCCATCCCCTTTCTCCTCCCAAACAAACATCCATACATATGCAATGTATTTAGACATATGATCAAATATGAAGCACATCCCCTTTCCACTTCCAAGACAAAGATACATATACAATGTATATAAACACGGTCATATTCAATGACAATCATCAGAAGATTAGTTTCAATTCACTTAATCCACATGCAATTTCTACA